AGTTAGTTGCAATTCGAAAAAATAATTATTGTTGTTGCAAAAATCGGAAAAATCATTTAAAAAATTGCAAAAAATGCTAGTTTATTTGTCAATTTTTTTCAGACACTTGAATAATACCTAGGATCTTCATACTTTTCCCAATTAAACTTCTTAGTGCATAGAATCATCACACCAAATTTCATCCAATTCGGTTCGATAGTTTTTACATAATAATTGTTTAATTTTTTTAATTTTTTTTAAATTAAAAAATTTTCAAAATCAAATTTCTAAAAATCTAAAGCCTTTGAATACTTGAAAATTTCACCACAAAAAGAAGAGCTCTCAATCTTTAAAATGCTTTTTGAAAAATTCAAATCGGACTATTAGGAGAGCCGTGGTGATTGTTTAAACATTTTCGCAATTTTCACGCATATAAACAATTGCAATTACTTAATGTTCTTTTCAAATTTTTGGTAATACTAGTAAGTTTATTTAAATATTATAAAATTGTTTAAACAATAATTATTTAAATAAACAACTGAAAATTGGTATTAATTTTTAGTTGTACGATAAATTTCTAAAAGTCTTTCAAAAATTATTACTCACATAAATTGTGAATAATTATAATTTTAATTTTTTCGTTTACTTTTAAAATATTTATCTAAAATTTATTTTTTATTTATAAAAAAAAAGTATAAGAATCTTTTGGATACTTAATTAATACCAACAACATGGTGCAACATGCAAAAATTTTAGTCGTGAAAATAAATAAACATAATAAATTAATCATTTTTTAAAGTAACTGTTTATCGGCATGTCAAAAGTCCAATAATTAATAGTAAAATGTAGTTGAAAATATGATAATTGAATTTTTTAGTTGCGAGACATCGATTTAAAAAAAAATCATCGAAATTGGTCCATTAAGTAGATGCTGAGATAAGAGAAATTTTTCCGAGTGTCGCAATTTTAAACTCGAGAATTCAGATCGGAGTAGCTGTGTATTTGCTCGCCCCACCACTGATACCTCATTGATTTCATGCGGTCATGAATATCTATGAGTGACATTTTAAATGGGACGCCCGTGATTGCAAATTTTGAAAATCTATATCTGGAAAGTACTCGGAATAACAAACCTATTGGTTCAAAAAAGCCCTTATAGTTTTGCTGTAAAGGGTTAACTTTAAAGGGCTATAACTCCGAAAATAATGGGCGGATCATCAGGTTTTTTTTCAAATACTCGCCTTTCCGAGTACTTTGAAATCATATTTTAAAATTAAAAAAAAATTGAAAAAACATTAAATTATTGCAATTGTTTATAAGCGTGAAAATTGCGAAAATGTTTAAACAATCACCACGGCTCACCTAATCGTCCGATTTAAATTTTTCAAAAAGCATTTTAAAGCTTGAGAGCTCTTCTTTTTGTGATGAAATTTTCAAGTATTCAAAGGCTTTAGATTTTTAGAAATTTGATTTTGAAAATTTTTTAATTTAAAAAAAATAAAAAANATTTTGAGTAATTCTAAAGATACAGTATTTGTGTGCTAAAAACTAGAATATTTATTGATTGCTTCCCATTTATAATATTCACAATATTCAATTAGAGAACGTGCATTGGAAATATCTGGAGATCATACATTTAATTAATTTATCATCCTCGTACACCCCAAGAATTGTTGTTTTCTTGTGATCAATTATTGAATTATCAAAAGTGTAGAGCGACTTGATATATTTTGAATAACATAAAAAAAATTCTTTAGCAAAAGTTATCCAATTCTTTGTTATTTATTTATCTATTTCTATCTTATTTGTTATGTTTTGTTAATGAGAATGTCACAGGAATGACTTGGTTCTTAGAAAGTCGCACTGTGTAATGCGCTAAATAAAACTTTCTTAATATTTTTATTTTTTTTTGACAGACTGGACTCGTCCTGGGAACTATACTGGGCTTCCAACATATGGGCGCCCACAAAGGAGGCAGAGGTGGATACATTATCAACGTGTCCTCGATTCTGGGCCTGCAGCCGCTCTTCAGCATGCCGGTGTACAGCGGCACCAAGTGGTTCGTCATCGGATTCACCAAATCCATGGGTTCCGAATATTTCCACAACTTGAGCAAGGTGAAAGTTATGGCGGTGTGTCCCGGTGTCACGGACACAGAGATCATAAAGAATGCGGGCAAAGCGACGTTGCCGACTTTCGACAAATTGGACAAGGAGGCCGCTAAGAGTCTCGCGTCGTTGCCACCGCAAGGGTAATTTCATTTTGAACTAATTTTTTTTAAGCGGAAGTCTGTAGGTTTGTTCTAACTTTTGTTGTCTTGTTTATATTCGCGCGTGATCTTATATTTGTACTATTTCCTATTTAACAATTTAACTAACAAAATCTCTTAGAGAAAATATAATTTCTATGACATTTTGGATTCCAATTTGTGTTTCCCTAAGGGCTTAAAGTTCTGTCGTAAAAAAACAAAGACGATTTGAACCATGTTTCAATTGAGTTTCAATTATTACAAGTACGTTATTAAATCGTATGCAAATTGCATGTTGGAACAGACCTAATGACTGTTCAACTTTGGTTCTATGGCAGATGTTAACAGTTCACGATAGAAAATTCTGTGGTATATTCAGATATTTCAGTTACAACGACTTATTATTTTAACAAAAAATATGTTACCTTTATTAGCAACTAAGAAAAAAAGGTTTTTTATCCTGGGAAGAATACATTTTTTTGCAGATGTTTTAAAGCACATTTCCTGTTAAAGTGGTCAAAAAAATGTGTCTCTTATCGATTGTATTGTGCTGTGACAAACTTAGATCATTTACAAGACTAAAACTAAAAACTACTACAAATAAGTTTACACAATAACTGCTGAAACAAAAAATTATTGGACGATCTCAAGAAACAAGCCGTTGCCGACCCATGTTCATATGAACTTTTATCTCAAAATTAGTCAAAGATTGACCCTTTAAAATTTGTACAAGTACTTAAAAAACACCGTGTATAGTATATTATTACAGGATGTTTGTAAACAAGTGCGAAATATTTTAGGGCGTGGTTGCCGAAGTAGTTCTGTGAAGAAAAGTTCTTATAAACGTAGATCTAAATATGCTTCGTTTCGGAGATACAGAGTATTTAAATTTAATTTTTTATTTATTTTTATTAATTATTTCAAAGAGTAAAATACACAACTTGCAATAAAATGTTTTATTTTTCCTCAAAAATGGTGCATCCTACGAAAAAAATGAAGAGACCCATTTCATTCAGAATTGATGGCGGATTTCTAAAGAAATATCAAAGCGGGAAAAAGTCAGTGGCGTACCATTTTCTTTTAATTCTAAATGGTTGTGCCATTCTCGCATAAACGCCACTGGTGCACGTACAAATATTCGGATCATCCCAAAAAAATGTACATTTATCCCTCCAAAGCGTTATTCAAATGCCGATTCTTTAATACTCTTTGAGATAATTAATAAAAATAAATAAAAAATTTAAATTTAAACACTGTATCAGAGAACACTATACCAACGAGAAGTGACAGAATCGGCGGTTCCTTTGATGTTTTGTGGTCACGCTAGAGTCGACCGATTTGACGGAAACACAATCGTTTACACTGAGAGAAGTTACACTTTTGAATAGATGTACACTGAACGAACTGCATCAGTATCAAACATTGTTCATATAATACAAGGATAACTGTGGCAAAATGTAGACAAATTAGGTATACTATATAAAAAAATAAAACAAGATGTTTTATGACTAATATTTTTATTAAACAGATATAATTTTTTTTTTGTAATATTTGAAATAGTTTTTTAAAAATAGGTACCTGACAACAATAACATTTTCCGGACAATCTTCCACAATTTCTTCTTGCTCATTTCTAAGTTGAGGAAACTGTATAGGTATTCCGTTTGGCAATAAGGTTATTCTTACATTCCCTTTACCAATATATTTGGTTT